GTGCAAATCCTCAAAAGTACGCAGTCGAGATGAAGTTGATTAAACCAAGTCTGTTTTCGAGTTCGATTCCTACTTACTTCCACACAGTGAATAAGAGCACGATAGACGCTCGGAGTGCTTAAAGTACTAAAATATTGGTGGCAGAGCTGGCCTCTGCTCGCTCCCTTTCCGCCACTGGCCGATGTCAGACTTTGCGATTGGAGCGATTTTGCACCAATTGCAGGAGCGACGGATCGCTCAAGCGATGCGAGCGACGGGAGATTTACCCGAGCGGCGCCGTGTGTATCGGTATTCGGCGGGGTAAATCTCCCGTCGCTCGCATCGCTCAAGCGATCCGTCGCTCCTGCAATTGGTGCAAAATCGCTCCAATCGCAAAGTCTGACATCGGCCATTCAGGCGACGCATTGAAAGAATCGGATTAAAGCATGCTTTGGAGAATAGAGACAAAACAATCGATAGAGTAAGTTATAATAGAAGTGTGAGTGTTAGCACAACAGGTCAACGTCGAAAAGAGTTTCTAATGACAGCACACACCAAGTGGGCGTGTTCCGCGCCAGCATTTGTGACAGATGTCCGGCGGGAATTGAACGCGTAGCAGTCCTTCCGGTTTTCGAATTGTTACCAAAACAAATGCATTTTTTTTCTTTTCGTTCTTATCGTAGATGATGGGTATCAAGCTAATGATTTACACGCGAAATTGAATCCTTATTTTCCGTGGAGGTCAAAACTGGTCTGATTTCAGCACACTACAATGAAAGCAATGGTGCGGGTCGGGCTGTCAGTAAGGAATGAAAGGAAAATAATACATCGAAAACAAAATGGTTGCTATGGAGTTAAAGGCTTGCTCACTTCTGTGCTAACCAAGGAAGGACATTGGGTCACCCGGCCATTCGGAATAATCTGAATGACTATACTCCCCTTGAAATGCTGAGCTCAAATATACCTTCCTTATCTGCTAAACCCTTCTCTGAACAGAATTATGAAGCAGGAAAGCGCAGTGGCAGTGATTGGGGCTCATGGAAAAGAGATCTAGGGAATCTAACTCCCCCTTTGAGCGAACTTCTAGCTAGGATCTGTTCGCACCCTTCAGCTCGACTCATAGATGTAGCTTCAGCCGACCGCTGATGGAATAACGTATTCAAAGGACCTTTCAGGTATGTTGAAAGAAAAGCAAAATCCAGATTCCGTAAGAAACCGAACCCTTCACCCAATGTTCAATGGCAAGACCGCTACCAGCTGCGCCACTGAAGCAAACTTTACTAGTTCTTCGCGACGTTCATAAGTGAGCCTACCTGTTGCAGGCAAGACGCTAAAGAGTAAGGGCGAAAATCTCTCTGTGTGATGAGAGCAGATTTGAACTCAGCGCACCGAGATGGAGATTTAAGGCAGAAGATGTATAGAAATTTACAACAAATTTCATTTGGCCGGCTTGGCCGCACGAAAGCAGATTCGAGCTCAACCCTCGAAATGCGCATAGAAGCGTACTCTGCATTTCATTTGGCCGGATTGACCTAGTAATTTCCCGGTGTGAGAATGAATGAGGGACTGAGCACGTAGGAAACACGAGTAAACACTGCACGAAAAGATCACTAGGTCAACCCGGCCAAATGAAATGCGAGTTTGGCCAGACGACGAAAAATGGAAGCGGTCAAAGCGTTCTTTATAACACCACAGCTTCCTTATTGTGCACTTCAGAGCCATGATAGTAGGACGTCTGCGACTTTCTTAAATAGCTCTGTTCTACCCACCACGAAGATTCATCTACCTGAAGTCTCCTTGGCTGCCCGTTCGTGATCCAACCGGATAAACCGGGCCAAGCTTGGCTTGGGGGCGACATGGGTCCACAAGCACAAAACACATTCAGTCAAGCATAGCCCCGCCCATGGGCGGTGCCAAGGGCTAGAATCTCCACTTCGGTTATAGCACATGCCAAAAACGGAGAAAAACAGGTCAAGGTGCACATGGGGGGTCAGGTCAGACTCGGGAAACCCACCCGTGAAGCGTGCATTTCTTACAATTAGATAGGCGTAGTTCATTAAGAAAAAAAATACGGTTATAACGCGAAATGGAAAGCAGAAGAAATGGTGAAGAGCAGTGCTTGATATGTATGAAGTTCACTTAAGTTTAACAGAGTCTCACCCCAATGGATGAAACATGCCCCTACAAAGCGGAGTTTACTATAGAAACCCATAACTCGTTTACGAAAAAACTGGGGACTGGCAAAAAGTAAAAAGAGCGTGGAAGGGAAGCAGATTCCATTTCAAGGGCGAGGTGATGTCAAGTTAGACATGTTTTGCCATGGAACCTTAGAATTTGATTCTGAGACATACCAGATACCGCAAAAAAAAGTAGAGGAGGAGAGGTCAAAGAGGGTGGTGAGCAGAGCTATGTGTGAAAATTTCCTTGCCCTGTTTCATATCGCCGAAGAGCCTGTTATGCGCGCGATGACATGAAGCGCCAAGCTGGTAATTGTTAAATACTGACTTCGAATTTGAATTCATCATCGGGTATAACCGGCCGTCCATCCTTGATGGCCATCTCCTTCGCAAGAGCAACCAGACTCTTAAAAAGTGAAATACGATATCCTCGTTGATTACGAAAATGAACTCTCCCAATACCTGAAACGTCCGTGGTTCATAGACAGCCATCTGCGAAAGAACAACATTGTCCAGTAGAATATGCGCCTTGTCCAGCATGTTCCGGAAATGTTGATACTCGAAATGGTGTTCAGCCAATGCTGCGCAAAGACGCTGTTCAGCGTCCTAAAACAAGGCTCACTTCACATGAAGGCAAACCTCAAAGACCAATCGAGCATTAAAATTATGGACGGGATTACTGAAAACAGAACTGTCTATAGCCAAAACCTTTTAAATTTTTATCGCGAGTATTTTATATTCCAAGGCTGGTAAGTGGATTAGCTGCGTAAACCGTACGCAGAAGTAGCAGTGGTTCGGCACCTCAACGTACCATTTATGGGAAATGGCGATGTTTCAAGTTTTTGGAATCGTGAAGGCATTTTTTGCTAGTGATATTCCGTCTGCAGGATCGACGATAGCAAGCGCTACCCTTTCCCAGCTGTTCGACAAGGTCGAAAAAAGTTTATGGAAAAGGACTACAAGTCAGTTTCATATAGACATGCTTTTGCACGCGATGCAGCGCTAGAAGACTCTCAAACAGGGCTGTTCTGCGGTCAGCCATCCGTAGTGTGCGCCGAACCTGTCTCCACCCGATTTTCACATTATTCGGTTGCTTGCTTATGCCTAGAGAAATTTTTTCCGATGGAAATCTCCTTGTTTCTAAAAACATATCTGCTATCTACCAGCTGCCCAAAGGTTGGTGTATTGTTGCTCCGATGACCAATACATTGAGGATCTTATTGTTAGAACAATGGAGAAATAAAAAAGTAAATCTCAATAATAGGCTGTGGAGTGTTTAAAACTTTCTTTCCAACTTCAATGTCATCTACAATCCATTGCCAATGACAAACGGGTTCACTCAGTCTGGCTGCCGAACGCTAGAGCTCTGGAGGAGACGAAATCGGCAATCGGACAAAGGTCTTTGAGCATCTCACTAGATTTCGAAGTGTTTCTCTTCGAAGGAGCTATACAGGTTCTCCGAAAAGTGACTGCCAGTAGGCAAGAAATCATCAGCAGGTTCAACTTGAGCACGGTTGGTTGTGCCATACTCGTCCAAGCCACCTGCTAGTGATGAGTCTGTCCCTTTATGACGAGGAAAACTGGGCAAACAGATGAGTTCCAGGTGTGTTCTGACAGACTGTCGAGAGCAGTTTTTCATTGCAACGGTATCACCTTGTCACGGAAAGCTAGGCAAGCTACTGATCTTATGGAAGTCGCCATAACCTTTCTCCAGTGCAATGTTTGATTTGCAAAGTTTCATAGAGACTTGATCGTAGTCAATCCATTCAGCAAAGCTCCGTAGACTGTAGCAAAGAATCCGCTCTTATATCGCAAAGCAAAAATCAGCAGAGAAGCAAGTCGTTTTCATCACATCAACAAGCGAAAAACAGGGGACGACACTTTAGAATGGTGGTCTCAAAGCATGCCTTTGTCAGATTTTTTTAAGACTTCTCAGCTCTTTCC